GGTGATGCGACAGATAAAGCATGAGGCTGTTAAAACAAATAAGACAGGAATACTAAATGTAAATCAAGCTGTGATTTTAAACAAAGTGATCAGGCCATGAAACAGAAACACAGTGACTGGAGGTTTGTCTGCCTCTTGATCTCAAGGAGGGTTGAAAGAAGGAAAAAGTTCACTCTTTTCTTTAAGTTGTAACAAGTCAGTTTACATATCACCCCAAAAACACCACAGGTGACTGGAGGCAGGTGAGATTGGTGTGTGTGTGTGTGGTACAGTAAACCGTTATGACTATTTCTAGTACAAATTAATCCAGAAACCGAAAGTCAAGAGATGAAGTAAGCAAATACAAATAAATAGAAATACTACCTACCGCTGGATCCACAGTGAACGAGCAGCAGCGCACAAAGAGCAATCCACACTTTGGTCTCCATCATCTCTGTCCTCCGGCTACACGCTGAGGAAATTATTTAGAACAAATCTCTCGTCGTCTTTCTCTCTCTCTCTCTCTCTCTCTCTCTCTCTCTCTCTCTCTCTCTCTCTCTCTCTCTCTCTTGTTCACCGTCCTATCCCAGACTTTGAGAGATTAGTTTAGAATTCCCAGGCAGCTGTAGGTTTTTACTGTACAATCCACTGCAGACTGCAGCTCTGCCAGTGTGTGCGTGGCTGGAGGGACAGAAGGAGGAGTGTGTGCGTCTCTCTCTCTCTCTCTCTCTCTCTCTCTCTCTCTCTCTCTCTGCCACGTGTTCCCTCTTCAAAATAGTCAGCGGGTCTGACTCTGCCATGACGCTTTTTCAGTAGAAAGACTGACACCTACCCGCACGGTGGATAAGGTCATGCATATCAAAACACACTGTAGGCTTATTGTAGGGTCTATTAACACAAACACAAACTGTCACAACTATGTATATTTATGAATATGTATATATTTGTATGTGTATATCACTATTATTCTTGACGTTTGTATTGCTTTAAGAACTTTTTATTGTATTTGTCCTTGCTGTCCTTGCTGGTGTTTTGTGTCTTTAGTTTATGTTAGTAAATCATTTAGAATTAAAATGAGAAGAAAGTAGTAAATAAATCCAAATAAAAGTATTATTCTCTCGAGTATTTGACTTGATCCGGAAGCTTAAACCATCTCATCCTCACTTTTATTGTTTGCATGACTGGCGTTTTACTGTAATGTGATGTCTTCATTTGACCACGTGAGGGCGCTGATGCTCTATTGCTGATTTTCACATTGAGGAAAACAATTGTATTGTCATTTTTATATAGATTGAATAGATGGGAAAACGTGTGAACATATAGCCTTCATGTATTCCCCATATATTTGCTCTATAGTTGAATAGGAATTCACTGAACTCCTCCTGCTTCATGTGGGTTTACAGGTCAACCAGCAACAGTGAACACAACAGGTCTATTACACAGGAGGTGACTGACGCACATGTTAAATATAAACCGGTGTGTTGCTGCTGCTGCTGCTGAACACATCTGGTCGTTTGAGTGTCACTCTGTCACTTGTCTTTAGTAAACTTGGTCTTTAACTTTGTCACTGATGTGTCTTCTGTGACCTGTTATTTAGCTACTGAACATCTGATTATCCGACAGAAACTCAAAATACAGTGTCTGCCTGAAGATCGCCATTGAATCCTTCCATAAGGGTGAGCCATTCACATTCGAACAGACTATATTATTTCTGTTTTTTGCATGCACGCTAGATATTTTAAGGTAATAAACAACATTTATTTTCTGCAAAAAAAAAATGTGTGCGAGGAGCAAATGCCGCATTCAAATGTAGTAAATAAACACGAAACTGCTGAAGAGTGTTTAGCCTGAAAATTAGACGAAACGAAACTGAAACACAAGATAGGAGCTGTTTATCTTAAATAACCGAATATTTACAAACACCAATAATGCGTAACTGAAAAAAGAAAATCGCAATTGGATTTTTCGTGTTATATGTTATTTATTTAAATATTAAAAATATTAAAAAATATATTGTAATAATATGATAATAATATTTCATAATATACATATATTATATAGAAATATTATTATATTATTATATACAATTATTATAATAATAATATTACAATATAATTATATAAAGAATAGGATTATATACATGTTATTGGGCGGTCCTTGACCTGTGATTGCGAGATTTGCCACAGCGCCTGAATGTAGCAGAAAAACGCCTCTTGGTGACGTAGCAGCGGCAGGACAGCGTCGCGGAGCTGTGCCCTGCATCGTCTCATAAACCGTCGCAGGACAGAAAGGTGTGGAAAATACGGGTCTTCTAGACAAGCCTAGCAGCCTAGCAGCAAAACACGGACACGGCGTTGTTTTGAAAATGCTGTCACACTCTGAACATGTTAGTATATCCGTCTCGCTTGGCTTCTTTTGGCGCTTAGAGAAGCGTCACGTTACGTTAACGTGTTAGCTTTGGACGTTAGCATAGCGGAGCTAGCCGTTGCTATAGTGTTTGGTAGCATCAGCGAGCTAACGTTAGCTTTGCCGGGGTTAGCTTCTCTTGTGGTATAAAATTCATGATGTCGTCGAGTTAGCTTAACTGCTATTGTGGAGATGTATTTTTTTTTGGGAAATGGCACTCTATGGATACAGGGGAAGTTTAAGAGTGGTTGTCGGCTCCTGAATGTTGTTGTTGCTCCTTCTTTTGATCGTTTGACAGCTCCGGATCAGCGGAGATATGATGGAGACGCCGGGGAGGATAGCGGCGACACCAGACGACACGGCTGACTTCACGGTGGAAAACGTAGAAAAGGTGAGTCCTTGTCCACTGGGTCATTGTTATCTCACACACAGCACCACGGGGGCGTTTGTGGACTAAAGAAGTGTTCTTCTTTCTAAAGAAACAGAACCAGCCGGATGAGGGAGAGCTGAGGAGCAATACATAATAATATTGATCTTAATTTGTCTGGAGAAATCTAGCTCAAAACTATAACACGTTACTCTGTTGTTCGGTTAAATCTTTGCACTACTGTTTAGTTACTTAATTTAATATTATTCTATTTCATTGTGTATATTGTGCATTTTTATAGGTAATAATTTTACTGTTATTCTTATTGTACATATTGTGCATTTGCTATTTAATATTTTTACTCTGATATTTTATTTACCTGTACCATAATTGCTGCTGTAGTGAAAAAATGTCCCCTTTGTGGGATTAATTATCTATCTATCTATCTATCTTTACCTTTTTTAAATTAGTCTTTAATTAAATGGCTAATGTTTATAAAGAATGATCATATGAGCATCATAATAACAAGTTTGTAGCCTGCCAATTCTTTGCCATCTCTTGTTATTGTAAAATGCTTGTCTGGGTCTTGTTTTTCCTCTGTTGGATTGTGTGTGTGTGTGTGTGTGTGTGTGTGTGTGTGTGTGTGTGTGTGT